GTTGAGCCACAGGCGCCGAGCCGAGGAATAAAGTCTTTATTAGACTCAGACTATTGAAGGAAGACGAGGCCCAATGGAGAGAAAGAGCACTCAAACACCATAGTTATAAGAGGAAGGGCTTTATTCATCGGCCGGGAGCTTATGGCATAGAAGATTTCCAAATGGCCGTGCTCCCTGACTGGCTTGGTCTTTCCCTTTTTATTGACAGTCAAAAAGTTCCACCCCATGGGTACCCTTCCATTGGCCAGTTTGAATCAAGTGGGAGATGCTACTCCAGCCCCTACAGAACTACAGGATTTCACAGAACTTGGAAATTTCTAAGTTCCAGGAGGTTAAGCCTATAAATTCCCAAGAGCTGAGTCGGCATGGAGAGGGCCCTGTAGGTGCATCCTCATGGTCTCCCTGAGAAGACCTGTTCTCCCGGATCTTGCCCCTCTCCGGTATCCTCTCTCAAGACCAGGAGTCTGTGGGTCTTGAAGACCTCTGTGTATTTGTCAGTTTTCTTCTCCGCATTCTTTTCTGCCTGTTTCTGTAGCTTCATGAGCTGCTTTTTCTTCCAGTAGGGGATCTAGCCTTCTCCTTCCTCTTCTCTAGAGTTGCTGTCACTGCTCAGTACTTTCAGTCAACTTTGTGTGCCAGGCACCCCAGGTAGGCAAACTTTCTTGTAGGCTTCAGGCGCACAACCCTTAGGGTAACAAGAACCACCATTCATTTTTTCTTGTCATAGGGTGGTGGGATCCCATCAAACACCTTGAGGTGGTCCAGGGCAGCCTGGCCTCGCTTGGTCTGGTGGGGCAGCATGCCCCTCACAATCCACCAGAAAATGTGGCTGGGGACCCAGAAAAAGTAGGGACCATGGGACGGGCTGATGTTCATCTGTTTGCAGAGGAAGGCCAAGTTTTTTAACTTGTTTCTGTAGAAACTGCCAGAGATGTTGATGTCCTCAGAATGCACAACTGCCACCTTCTGGCCCAGCAGTACCTGTTTGGCCACAATGGCTGCCAGGCAGCCCAGGACATAGCCTCTGCCATCCAGCACCAGGACCTGTGCCTCCGCCATCTTTGGCAGCTGCCTGGGCAAGAGAGACTTTCTTTTTTTCCTTTTTTTCTTTTT